GTATGGTTAATTCTACTTTAAACTAGATTAATTTACTCAGCCAAACTGGATAGCCTTGCCATCATAAGACGGTACTACATAGTAGATTAGACGAAACCGGTCCTATACTCTAGCATCCGAAACTGGATGCCTTGTCATCATAAAGACGGTCACATGTAGATTAGACGAAACCGGCCTATACTCTAGCATCCCGAAACTGGATGCCTTGTCATCATAAAGACGGTCACATGTAGATTAGACGAAACCGGCCTATACTCTAGCATCCCGAAACTGGATGCCTTGTCATCATAAAGACGGTCACATGTAGATTAGACGAAACCGGCCTATACTCTAGCATCTGAAGATGCGTATTTCGCTGACAATAAGGTATGAAATAGATCGTTTGCAGTGATGTCAAGAACATGTACAGTGGACCAACGATATTTGTAACAATGCTCTTATAGATGAGTTGAGCTTTACCCTGTAGCAAGAAAACAAGCACATTATTTAGAGGAAATCTAGAACAATATCCAACTTCAGATCGCACATATTATAAAGTACATCCTACAACCATTTATATCTCGATATACTAGCTGTGATTTTAACCTAATTGGTGAAAAGCTTGCTTCCAGCATACTAAACAGGTTGACATGAAGATCTGATTCACTGAATGGAGCAGCCTTTATGCTCAGCTCAATACACTGTGTGTGAAATGCTCCTGAGACATCTCACGAAGTGACAAAAAAGTGCTTTCAGGGCAGTATTCGATAAAATATCAGAACCTTATCATCGCTCAGATTTTAACCTTGCAATATCGGCTGCAGGCTGCTCGTGGCGACCATGTTCCGTATTAAAATGCGGTGTTGTAAGCTATAAGGATGTAAAGCCACCTCCACGAAATGTTTATAATTTATAAAATATTTATAAGCTGAGAGACCAGTCAATCACTCGTAATTTGGATCATCAGATGTTTGACTTGTATAAAATATGAATGTGTGATGTGATGGATGTTATTTTATAATTCTTATAAAACATTTTAAATTCCATTTACCCTTTAATTGTTTTATGCAGTATATTAACATGTTAAGTAGTCAAGTACACCTGTACAGTTTGTAAATTTATCTACAATCTTTTCATTAGAATCATTAGAACATTAAACTTGCGGAGTTTATTTGTTAGTAGTACTGAGTAGGTTTTTATAGAAATTAAATAGAAAATGCTAACTATTAGCCCAAGGTAAGAGCATTCTTTATTACAGATATTTCGACCATGAGTCTTTACCGATATCAAAAAGAAGACCGAAGTGATAAGACTTGGGTGATAAGCTTTGATGGGGATATAAGAAGGTGTATAAATGTAGTCTTAACATATAGTAGACAACAAAGTAACTGTGCTTCACGAAATATTCAACTAGATGTGATTATAACACGTGTTTATGAAAGATTACGTTAAGCCGAACCTTCACCTAAAGACACGTGTAGGTTCATTAGGTAATATTCTATATTATCGACATGAATAAATGAATGTCCTGAGATTTTTTTTTCGCAAACCAAACACGCTTAAAGGGATATGAGTGACATCAATTATATATATCTTATCTAGATGGATGAAGATTGACTTTGGTCGATAATACAGGTTTAACTAGTCATGATATGGGTTGTTGTTAGCCTGATGTTCTATAATGTTTGTACCACTAACTAGATACCGTTGTAGAAGATTTACGGTTCAGAACTCAGCGTTACTAATTAAAATTAATGGCCATTTTTGATATATAGCTAAATAAATATATAACGTAGGGCCTTTATTCAACATTCGCTGTTCACCTTTTTATTAAACTCAGGCAAAGATTACTTATCTTGATACTAAACTATATATATATGAAAATATATTTTCGTGGTACTTTCAACAGTTTGAGCGAAAACTCTATTACTCTTTACTATCTCACAAATTACACTGCCTACATGCTAGAACAGAATAAATATGGACTTTCTTTATAGAATATGAAATTGAACAGTTGAAAGGGAAGCCTACTTTCTGCTAGGTTTTTATATAAAAGGACACTTAAAGGTTAATGGCTATAAGAAGCAAAAATGGCTAGGTGGTTAAGGGGCTCAACTCGCAATCTGAGGGTCGCGGGTTCGAATCCCCGTCCCATCAAACATGCTCGCCCTTTCATCCGTGTGGGCGTTATAATTTGACGGTCAATCCCACTATTCGTTGGTAAAAGAGTAGCCAAGGAGTTGGCGGTAGGTGGTGAGGACTAGCTGCCTTCCCTCTAGTCTTACACTGCTAAATTAGGGACGGCTAGCGCAGATAGCCCTCGTGTAGCTTTGTGCGAATTTCAAAACAAACAAACAAACAAACCATTTTGATTAAATGTATAGTAGTTAAAAACAAGAGCAGTCAGAGAGACTGCAAACTCTCACCCCGCCGCTCCTTTTCGTTATATTGGATAACGTCAAATTTCATGCTAGAAAACTCAGAAAATCCTTCTTAGATCCAAAATGATCAACGATCCGGATCATTTTTTGTGGTATGATGAACACGAAATTTGTTACAAATCCGACCACACACTTTACAAAGTTATTAACCGAAAACCGCAAAAATGCTTTATCCCCACATTATAAATAATACTTCACAGTGATCCAGGATCCGGATTTGATCCGAAACAAATTTGGAGAGGACTGACTTCCCATCTTGTGTAACTGTTTTTTGCACATCGGTCTATTAGTTTTCGTGATACGCGCGCGGAAACACACAGACACAAGCACGGACCCAATTGCAGTACTTTCACTCCCACTCCAGATGAGAGAGAAGTAAATTCATTACTCAAGAGAAAAAGGTTGTAGTTTACATAAAAGTAAATATTATATTTTAATTTTTTTGTATCACTGAAGGTGCCAATAAAATGTTGTGTTCAGCTAACATTTAGAGTGGCATCACTAGGTCGTTTATCAAACATTTATAATTATAATGTTAAAATAAATCTTAGTCACGTACCTGTCTACGTATTTTATATTAGAGGAACGTGGTGGATTCTAGAGAGAAGATTTTCACTGAAAGTTAAGATACGACCCTGGATTTTTATAGTCTTGTAAAGGGTCAAGTTCATAAAACTAGCGTGTACTCGTAAATAGTATCTTTATTGCATTTCAACATAAAAGTAAGTGAACTTTTCCAGTAACAATATATCACTGAAACAAAGTAGATGCGGTTTTAAAAGTAAGAGATGCTCTTTATTTCTAAAAAATCAAATTCTAGTGCACAATCCAGTGACAATAACAAGTGTTTTGTCTGAACTATCCCTAATACACTTCTATGTTTTGACAAGATCTTGATGTACTTCTGTTTTGATGCAATCTACCGAAACCACACTTCACTGAATTGATTTGAGCGAACCATAATATACCCTTGTGAGTTTATGTGATAAATATCCTACATATTTATATCTTCATGAGAAATATACATATCAAATACACGAGTTTTGATGTAATATATCCAAATTTCTATTTTATTTTCATCTGTCTTTGACATAATTTATGTTTTCGTGTGACTTATGTATAACAAACTTCTATGTTTTGATGTGATCTATCCTTAACATAATTGTGTGTTTTGATGTGAACTACTCCCACGTGTTTCTGTGCCTTGGTTAAGTCTGCCCTTAACATACTTTATATTTTCATGTGAAGTATCCCTAAAACATTTCTGAGTTTTTATGTGCCCATAACAAACTTGTGTCTTCGTCAGATCTGTTCCCAATAAACTTCTCCATTTTGATGTGATATATCCGTAACATACTCATTGTTTTTTATGTGACCTATGATTTACTTTTGCATTGTTGAAGTCACCAATATATAATGTATTTAACTATTTCTCCTGTGTTTAGTTCCTCCACGGTGGATCAGGGAGCCTTACGATGTGTCAGGTGTGGTTGGACAATCAGTCACGTTAGAGTGTAATGTTGGTGGGTTTCCCATACCCACTGTGTCCTGGACTAGGACTCAAGGTTAGTATTTATTGGTATAATATTGGTGGTTTGTCGTATTGTTCATTAGATGCAATGCTAGTTACAGTTGGTGAACTATTGTAGGTTATACAGTGTAATGTAGAACATCGAGGCTATATAAAGAGCAGATGTTTCAGTGGTTAGTATGAAGTTGTGTATGGTGTTTTGAAATGTCTTTTTCTCGCACATTGCAATGATATTTGGCTTTGATTACCGCTCAGACTATGTTGCAGAACATAAAAAGTAGCGTATTTTGGAATGTTACTGGTGGCTTTCACGTACCGTATCAATTGTAAATTAACTGTAACAATAATTTATTAATTGCACTGATGTTAGTTACAGAGACTTGCATATCGTGCATTAAAACACAAAGTTACTGACTTTCAGTTAAAATTTGCTTTTATATCTCTACATTATTGTCAATGTTAAGTTGCAGGGTTTTAATAGCTGTATATTTTAACATAAGACCACTGATACGTTCCAACTCCTATCTGACCATAGAGTTAATTAAAGCAAAATATATAAAGATATTTTTTCTTTCATGCAGTTTTTTGGGGGGGGGAAGGAGGGGGGGACTGTGACTGTCCACAGTGCAAAGTTAGTTTACATGTGACTATAATTGTAAAACACATACACAGCCGTCCAATATCAGTATATATATATATATAAGAATTGTAAAACACATACACAGCCGTCCAATATCAGTATATATATATAAGAATTGTAAAACACATACACAGCCGTCCAATATCAGTATATATATATATAAGAATTGTAAAACACATACACAGCCGTCCAATATCAGTATATATATATATAAGAATTGTAAAACGTACTTTATTTAAGATTAATGAACATGAGTTGTGAAACATGCATCTGTAATGTCATTGTACGTAAGAATTGTGAAATAGATATATATAAAATCGTAACACATTTTCTGATTATATGGGAATTATGAAATATGTATATATATATATATATATCTGTCAAATATCAGTGTTCGTATTAATTACAAAACAAATATCTTTGTAATATTAATACTTACGACAACTGTGATACACCTAGTTGTCTAAAATCAACCCATATTAAAACTACGAGAAACAGACCTCGCTGAAAGTTAATGCACTTAGAAATTGGAAACCTATTTACAATATCAACGTTCCCAATAAGTGTGGCATCTCTTAACTAAACATCAAAGGGACATTTTACATTTTAAAGAATGTCCTGTGTCAAGCCAGATCCATTCAGCAGTTTCAAGTTTAAGTGCATTTCACTAATTTGAAACAACTACGAAAAATCAATGGGCCTAGTTTTCACACCATTGAATGTTTTAAAGGTAATGTTGTTTGGTCACAAGAGGAGATATATTACATCATTTCTAATTAGTGGGCACTTCATATGGTATAGAAAGGTCTTTCTGACATTTTCGCAAAATAATACGAAAAATGGCATTTCGTAAAGCGTAGATGGATAAGTATTCCGAGTAATAGTAATTTTACGCCGATGTTTCTGTACGCACATATCCAAAACGACCGAAGTTAGGAAAACGCACTGACGGCACTGAAAATTTCTTTTCTCCGCAACAAATCTAATATATTATTAAAGAAGAATACCAGACGTGTTTAATAACATCAAAATCAGCGTGGAGGAGAGAAAATAAGGGCATATATAATACGCAGATATATGCGTTTACACTATTCGCATATATCCAAAACGACTTAGGTACGGAAAACGCTCTGGCGGCTCTGAAAAATTCTTTGCTTCGCGATAAAACTTACATATTTTATTATAGAAATAACTTAAACAAATTCAACGGTCTGTAATATATACAGTTACGCTGTACGGATACATCTAAAACAGTTGAAGACTGATAAAAGCTCTGGTGACTGAAAATTTATTTGCTTCGTAAAAAAACTTATATATTATTGAAGAGGAAAACCAGACATATCCAGTGAAACTAAAGTTGGCGTGGAGCAAAGAAAATAAGGGCTTTCAATACCCGCAGATATAAGCAGTCATTCTGTATGCATATATCCAAAACGATTGTGGTACGGAAAACGCTCTGGTGGCTCTAAAGACAAAACTTGCATATTATTACAAAATCTACCCTGACGAATTCAACGACGTTTTAGATATATCTGTATAGTATAACTGCACATATTTGTATATATTACAGGCCGTTACTTTCTTCGATGCACGTTGATTTTGGTGTCATTAAATTTGTTTGGTTTTCTTCTATAATAATATCTAAGTTTTACTGTGGAGCAAAGAAATTTTCAGAGCCACCAGAGCATTTTCCGCACCTGAGTGGTTTGGATATATATGCGTATATTACAGAATTTCATTTTCTTTGCTTCACTCTGATTGTAGATGTCTTTCAATGCAGCTTATGTACAATTTATTTGTTTGTGAAATCAGTAGTGTATAATTTTTACAGAACCACAATTTGCTTATTATCTCCTGCAAGCCCCCCCCCCAGTGGCACAGCGGTATGTCTGTGGACTTACAACGCTAGAATCCTAGTTTCGATACCCGTGATGGGCAGAACACAGATAGCCCATTGTGTAGCTTTGCGTTTAATTACAAACAAACAAACAATCTTTTGCAATCCAAATTTTCACTGTTGTAATGACATTTCATTTTACATGCAATGACATAAAATATTTTGATTTTATTCTCCCTTGCTTCTGCAGGTTCAATAACTCAGTACACAGCGAATATAATTGAGTAAAGATTTTTCACTATCTAGTATATTTCGCGGAATACCATCCATCCATGTTATACCTACACCCACGAAAAACTGTTAAATCAAGTACTGCAAGGATTTTTAAAAAAGACTTTTAAAGTTAACAACAAATATAGATTTTACAAAGTTTAAAACTATTCTCTACCCAAATTGTTTTACTGGTTCCAATCGTTAAATAAAAACATTGTTTTAAAAGTATTATTTCCTAACATATACCGAAGTGCTATTACCTTACTGATTTAGGTTTTACTTCGGACGAGAAAACGACCGTGCTACGTAAACACTGGAGAGTAACAGAATATGGTGACTTGATTACAAGAAATCTCGAGAAAGATGACAGAGGGTTCTATACGTGTGAAGCCTTCAACGGCGTGGGAGAGGGTGTCCGAAAAACTATTCGTCTTGAAGTTCAAGGTTTGTACTGCAATATAGGGGACGATATTTATAATCTTTAGAAATAAAACATAAATATCTATCAAAACAAAATAACATCATATGATATACAGAAGTGTGATCTTGATTTATGATATATAGAAGTGTGATCTTGATTTATGATATATAGAAGTGTGATCTTGATTTATGGTACATAGAAGTGTGATCTTGATTTATGATATATAGAAGTGTGATCTTGATTTATGATATATAGAAGTGTGATCTTGATTTATGATATATAGAAGTGTGATCTTGATTAATCCACTTCATAACGATAAACATACTCTATATGTGGGCATGTAAGACTACAAATGTACTCATACAAATATACCATAATTATTTAAGACCATAATTCTATAAGACCATAATTCTATAAGACCATAATTCTATAAGACCATAATTCTATAAGACCATAATTATTTAAGATCAGAATTCTATAAAACCATAATTATTTAAGACCATAATTCTATAAGACCATAATTATTTAAGACCATAATTCTATAAGACCATAATTATTTAAGACCATAATTCTATAAAACCATAATTATTTAAGATCAGAATTCTATAAAACCATAATTATTTAAGACCATAATTCTATAAAACCATAATTATTTAAGACCATAATTCTATAAGACCATAATTATTTAAGACCATAATTATTTAAGACCATAATTCTATAAGACCGTAATTTTTTGTTTTTTATATATTTTGCTAAAATCTAACTGAAAAAATATATATATCAGTGCTGTTGTGAACAATGAGTTAGACATGAAGACGGACAAATACTGACTATGAATCGGGAAAGCAATAATAATATTAACTAGTTATGCCAAAGAAGTAGGCTTATATAATGATTTATTTTATAACAAAACATATTGAAACGAATGTCATAAAAGCTGACAGTAACTCCTTATAACAGAGTTGTCTACCTGTGAAGACGATAACAGCACGAAATGCTATAGCTCGTAAATCATGCAAAACGGATCCCCAAGGCACCATTTATCTCAAATTGTATGTTATTTTATTCTTACCTTGTAGAGAGACCAGCTTCATTACGTATATTAATTTCTTATTTATTCTTAAGATGTTTTGTAAATAAACACGACTCTCAATATTACACGAAGAAAGACAGATGTTTCCGAATGAGCAAAAACAGAGATTTCGTCTTTTAGAAAGCTCAACGAGCCTTGCGAATACGTGTGGAAGCAACTTACACAGAGTATAGGCTTATACACACTGTTAAGCACAACGAGCCTTGCGAATACGTGTGGAAGCAACTTACACAGAGTATAGGCTTATACACACTGTTAAGCACAACGAGCCTTGCGAATACGTGTGGAAGCAACTTACACAGAGTATAGGCTTATACACACTGTTAAGCATATAGTCTTATACACACTGTTAAGCATATCAAGATATTATAATGAAAAATGTTGGCTCCTTTATTTTTTGAATTCTCTTTGAGTGCATGAATAAACGCTGATATAGAATATCAGCTTCGTAGGTTAAGATGATTATATTGATCGGAAGCTGAGCGAGTATCACTACAAAAAGACTATTTTGATCCTACTTTGGATATATAAAAACATAAAAGAGGCATAACGATTTACTGCGAAGAGTTTCTCAAAAATTTAATGCGAAGAAAGTAGTTTTTAAATTTTGTTAAAATAAAGTTTCAAGTTTACGTATTTTGTTCAGTTTCTCTATTTGTGTACGAACATAGTATTTTAAGGTCCAGTGAAAGCCAAACACTGGTTTATATATATTTTTATGCAAAGTGAACGATAGATTTTGTTTTACTTCAACTAAAACTAAACATGCATTATCATGTAGCTTCTAATATCTTAGCGTAAAACAACAAATATAAAACATTTATTGCTGACACTTTATTTATATTACATATTTAAAAACATTAAAGAATTAGGTTTGTTTATAGTGAAGCACAAAGCTACATAATTGACTACCTGTGCTGTGCCCACGACGTGTATAGAAAACCGGTTTTTAGCGTTAGAACTCTGCAGACATACAGCTGTGCTACTGGGAGGCAAAGAATTAGGAACATACCAATCTGTTAGCTTTTTTAAACAATGTGTAACTAAACATTGTAATTTATTAACACCCAGCTTCACGTTACCCAATCTACAATGACAAGAAAAAACTACTCAAAATACGAATGAGCAATGGTAATATACAAAGTGCGGTTGAATGAGTCATGAATAAGATACAACTTATATATTGGAGTACAAATTATTTTGTTTAGCTATTGAAATCAAACTCACGGCTATTGATTTGGAGATTTTTACAGTGAAGAAGGGTAGGTTTATTTATTTTTTGTTATTCGTGCAAAGCTACTCAATGACTACCTGCGTTACCTGTATCTAATTTTGAACTGGTGAATTAAAGGGAAGACAAGCTAGTCAGTTTACACACTACTAACTTATGAACAAGTGGTAGGATTTGACCATTAATCTTATAATGCTCCCATGATTCCAAAGTATGGAGCGTGATTTTTTGTTTTGTTGTTGTTTGCAGTAACGGGACGTGAACAGTGTCCCCGCAGATCCATAGTCTAGCACGCTAGCCACTGGGCTGTTCTTGGCCCTGAAGGATGGTAATATGATAAGAATATCTTAGTATAAAAAACAATAGAATTTACAGTTTTGTACAGTACGAAGCGATGTGGAGGGGCGATAAGAATCCCAACCAAAAGACTAACTAGTTCCAGGACTAACTTGTTTAGAAGTCAAAATATCAAAACAATGTAAGCCACATGGAATTATAATATAATACTTACCTAGACTACACTCCAGTTAATACTTTAAAAATTTCCTTTAACATATAACACGCTACATAACTACAAGCTTTCTTGGAGTTAAATAAGTTAGGATGTCACTTGTACCTTTACAAACCCTGTAAATATCAATGAATTGTGATGGGTATGTGCCGTAAGAAGCCCGGTTTCTAGCGTTACAAGTCCACGTACTTGCCGCTGTGCTACTGGGGGACGCTTTCATATCCTAAAAAGAGAAAAATCAATCTTACGGAACTTGCTGACGATGCTGATTGACTTGCACATTTATTCTGTTTAGAAACATCCCACGAGGCAATGACTTCACTGGCATGTGATCAATTAATCGATGCCATTCAGGATGAAGATATGTTCGTCAGACTGAAACAAAGTATACTTATTACATTGGGAGAAGCTTCTAATGTTCTATGTAATTGTTGTAAACTATCCGAACTGTGAACGGTTTTCGGCACTATTAGTATTTTGCATATTTACCCTCCAACAGATAAACATTATTTTTTTTTTTGGAAGTTCAGGTGGCAAAATGGTAATCAAGACTTTTGATATTGTAATATAGTGCGTTACCATGGTTGTTACCATAAAATGATGTTCGGCTGTCAAGGAAGTCTTGAAAATGGCTTAACATATGATGAATGGCATAAGTTTCAAACCAACAATGATTTCAGAAACAAACTGACATTCCCAAGGTATTCAGACAGAATATTGATGAACCTAACTGTTCAGAGGAACAGCTTGAGAAAGCTCAGACTAAAGACGCTTTTATTGGACTGGTTGTGAAATGGAATTAAACGTGAAACAGAAATACTACCTTGACTGACACGTTCTCTTCTACCTAAAATCCTCAAACTACACTTCACAAAACGCCTAAAGGATAATTGGAATTTATTCTGTTTGAGCCATCAAAATTACTGCTATAAAATTGTCACCCTTACCATTCAATTAATTTCTGTGTAAACCTGATATTTAATAATTTCTTATGTGATCTAAAATACAAACGACAGATCACTCAGCCTGTTCTCATAAATGATCATTTTGAGGAGATGGCTTTACGTCTTTACATATAATGACATTTCACTTCAGCGTGGAATATGATCATCACGAAGAGCAAGGTCAGCCTGGCACTGCTTAACATCAGAGTATTGGAAGGGAGGTAAGGCATTCTTGATCAATCCTCTAAAATAACTGTTTCTAGGGTATCTTTAGTAAATGGAGTCACTTGATAGGATGTGATGTATCTTTAAGAGTCATTTAATATTTGTTCGATGCGAATGAACTATAATGAATGAGCAGACCACCCCATTCTGTCAATCCTTTCTTCTGTAATGAACGAATTAACTGCTTTAACATGATGAATATTTGTCTGTTACCTGGTGAAGTACAACTCGCCTGTGGAAAGGATATCACCCTACATGTCGTTGGCCTACTGGATATTGTTGATATCACTGCAGACGAGATGTTTTGTACCTTGATGTGGATACATGTCGTTGGTCTACTGGATATTGTTGATATCACTGCAGACGAGATGTTTTCCCACATCAAGGTACCAACAATATCCAGTAGGCCAACGACATGTAAAAACATCTCGTCTGCGGTGATATGGTACCTTGATGTGGG